AAATGCAAGAAAGGTCTTACGTTCTTCTCGCTGACGGGTGTGGATGGGCTATGAGATGAAGGTACAGACTGATCACCTGATGTAATATATATTCCCCCTCGTGACAAGCAAAGGGGCCTGATCAGGGTTGTTGTGAATCTTAATAAATCTTAACTGACTGTACGGAATGAGACATACTTGTGTGTACTTCATAGTTTCGTAAATGTTGATTTTGTGTGAAGCGCGTCCCTGATTACCAAATACTTACAGATTTGATCACGTTTCTGTTGTCAATTACTTGCCGTCACCTTAATGGGCCTCTTCATAAACGAGGCCCTTTTAAGTTGTGAGATAAGATCTGGATATTTGCCAGGGTTAACACACCTTGTGCAAAGTCCAACACAGTACATGGTGACAAAAGTTATATCCTTGCCGTGGCTACCAATCACTTTAGTTATTTACAATGTAAGATCATATTTGCATACACAACGATGTTTCGACATAAGTTTGTGTTTTGGTTTTTTCCGCTCTCAGCAATTTCATACAGTTGTCCAGTATTTTGTGTGTTAATGGTTAAAAAAGCAGTTTGTGAAGTTATTATCAGCATTTAGTGCTCAGAACGAAATGTCAGGCTTGTGACCGTCACTATGTCATCTTGTGGCGTGGCATCGGCATTTGCGCTCCCACCTTCAGTCATACAACACGTATTTGATATTCATGCATTCCTCTGCCGCTTGTAGCACCCAACCACCCTGTTGTCCCCAAATACTGGCTATTCAGGCTTCACACATGGGTGAGGTGAGGTGAAAGGGGTTTAACGTCGCGTCCAAGATTATTGCACTTATATAGCGACGCGCGCGCGCGTGCGTGGTGTGTGTTGGTGCTTGTACTAGTCCGGACTATATTTACTTCTTCCACGTTTTTAATAGTAGTATATGTGTTATTTTACTGTTTGGCTAAATTTGACAGTCATCGCCAACAACTGAAGGGATGATGTAAATCCGACTGGGGTCCATGCAGGTAGCAAAAGTACTGTAAGTCCCCATGGTCCCCAGCGCGGTGATCAACCTTCAGTTGGTGGCGATCTATAGCCTGTTTTTATAATGTGTTGTTAAATGATTAGTTAGTTATCTATTTTTACTTGTTCTCAAACTAGTTTTACGAATGTCTGTGATGTTCTAGTTATTATACTGCTCTTTGTCAGCAGAATTTTAAACAGTTTAATATATATTGTTCATATCAAATTTTGTTTCGTCACGATATGGCTGAAATATTGCCGATGTGACGTTAAACTTTAACTCACTCACTCACTACTAGTCCGGACTGATGCCGATTTATAGTGCTAGCTCACTGAGATACCATACCGCAGTTTAACATGAATAGGTGAAATGGGGTTTAATGTCGCGTCCAAGATTATTGCACTTGTATAGCGACGTGCATGTACGTGTGTGTGTTTGTGTGGCTGCTTGTACTAGTCCGGACTGATGCCGATTTATAGTGCTAGCTCACTGAGATACCATGCCGCAGTTTAACATGAATACCCCACTCAGGCACAGTAAACTGACTCCGAGCCCCTTTTAGCTGCCCATATTATGCATATACTACAAAAGGTAACTTCACCCAATCTGTTTCACAAACCCATTAAGGGACAAATTCTCCACAAGTGATGGCGATTGGATACTAAGTGTAGCCGGGTGGTGGTGCTAACTCTGAATGAGTTATAGCCACATAAGTACCACCCACTTATAACCCCCTAGTATTCATTCTATACATATATACATACATATATACATGTTCATCTATTATCACCATCACTTCATTCTGTGTTCATTATATGCTGTCCTTGTCTGCATTTGAATGGCAGCCAACTAACATCAACCCTGATACCCTTATGCAGCCTCTGTGATTTCTCCAGCTTCACCTGGACTTCCCCCTATCTATTTTTAGATATGTCCACCACTTCATGTGACTGAAGCATCTTGACTTCCTTTAATACCTGTCAGATGCTACCTTTCTTCTGATTGGCCCTTTGGTCCACTTCTTTCAACTTCCTTTCTCACCTGCCCTCCTCATGCATTCTGCATGAACTCTTTATGGAGGGAGGACTCTTCTTTACAGGTGAGAAACATTTCAATATTCTTATCTCTTTCCATCCTGCTTTGGAAACAAATATATTCATAGAAAGGGTATCACAGCTTTTCATTAAAGTAAAATATATTTAATTGCATTATTATTTTATTTGTTATATCTAAATATTTGCCAGTTCACACATTTTGTGTTACATTAATTGAGCACATGGTCATCAACCATGTGCTTCAACCATGTGTTACCCAACGTATCCTTATACATTAATCTGTTTCCTTTTTGGCTTAAATTAAATTATAACAACTCTGCATGAACTTTTTATGGAGGGAGGACTCTTCTTTACATCTTCCCTCCCACCATCTACTACAAAGAAATATATATCATCATCCAAGAACTGCCTCATGTTTTGACTAGCAGCCCAGTGGCTGGACACATTACACCACGCCCGGCTACATAAGCATCATGAACTACTGGAAGAGACATTCTGTGATTGTCCTCAATGTTCCATGTACTGCCTGTAACAAGTGCGTGGAAGCACGTGATGCAACCTGAGGCTGCAGTCAGTATCGACTGCAAAGTCTACTATTCACACGAGATCATGAAAAAAAGTCGGCCCGTCTCGTTATATCTCTGATAACCTTTATCAGTAGACATTCCATTTACATGTCACTAGCATGTCTGAATACACGTGATTAGACCTCTCTGCCACCAGTTGCTGTCTACCGTATCTGTTAGCAATGAATATTTTGTGTATCGTGTTTATTAGAGAGACTGTCCACTGATTAAGTTTTTGTTTCTATGTGTTTTATTCCATCTCATGGATGTGTATCTTTGCAAGAATGTAATGTTGTTTATAATAGGATGGTTCGCACGAGTAAATAAAAATATCTAAAACTCGGTCCTTTGAATTGCTACTGAACAAGATCCTAATGTATGTATTTCTTGATTTGTGAAATCGGTTAAGATGGATTAAAGTACACGTTGGTTATACTGATGCGAATGGTGTATATAAATCTAAAACAATCAGGACTCTAAGCCAATCACATCTCGTATTGTGGTACCTGTCCACTAGGGGTGTCACGATTAATCGAAATATCGATACATTGCTATTGGTAAGCACTTAAGGTCAATAAATAGATTGTTAAATCAGTGTCCGGTCAATAGTATCGATTTCAGTTAGGAATATCGATAGTTTCGATTGTATTTACCATATCAATAAAATGTATGCAATGCTGGTCAAATTTGTTCAAATTCTTTTGAACATGAGTGGTGGTTATTTACACATGGTAATGTGGAAGTGTCTTTTTCTTAAATTATAAGGGTAAAGAAAAAACAAATCAGTCATATCTGAAACTTTACTTTATATTTGTTGTTATGGTTATCACATTCAGTTCCAAGGTGTAATTCAATTCTAAAATTCATCTAAAATGATACACTGAAAACTATCGATATTTATCGCAATTCTTGCTTGCAATGTCAATAGTTATCGCAATAGTTTCTTCAATATCAATAGTTATTGGAATAGTGATTTCCAGACCAATAGTCACCCCTACTGTCGGCACTCGTGAAGAGCAACCTCCTCGTGGTGAGTGCTGGGTAACGCTAATCGCTCTTCCCCCGTGTGGAACCGGGGTAGAATATTTCCACAGCCTCCCATTGCTGGTCGTAAGAGGCGACTAAAATGGGCAGCCCGTTTGCCGTGGGTTGCGTCCCTGTGTCGGCAGAGGAAGGGAGTCTGGTGGTTGAGGGCGACGGAGCCGGCAATAGTGTTCCTTAGCCCAACACACCACTTTGACCCTAACTTTGCCTAGACGGGTGGTAGGATGGGCCCGATCCTATCAATCGGCTGGTCATGCCGAGCCCTGTGCATGCATTTTGTGTAGCATTTTTATGTTAAAATGTTGAACTATTGTGTATTGTCTTGGCCAAATGATTTTTGCATGCCTTTCAAATGTATACAACATGGCTGGAATATTGCCGTTGTGATTTATAATCTTAAATCACTCAAATGTATATTTCCAACTTCGTACATTGCCTAGAGTCCTATGCCCAGAAGGCGGTGGCTCATGGGCCAATCTGGTGGAAAAATTGATCTTTTCTTTTTTTTCTGCTTGAGTATCTCATCCGAGTATCCTTGGTGCTGTAAGTCGGAGGTCCACTTGCATTTAGCATTGTCTTTATGATACTCCATGGTGGGTGGGGAGCTCGGATGATGAAACTTACACACTAAACATGGATTATGAAACCCCCCTAAAAAAAACCAAACGTCCTCTTGATACTGATCAAGATGTTAACGACCATAGACCGTCCAAATCCATCGACTACTGGCCACGTTTCCTGGTTATTGAAACTCTGGACAAGACGCCTATCAAACTGAACCCGTTTGCAATATCAAAGGGTATTCAGGGCATTGCAGGTGAGGTTAAAAACATCAAACGTTTACGATCTGGCTCTATCTTAGTAGAATGTAACAGAAAACCTCAATCTACTAACCTCTTGTCAACTGAACGGTTTGTTGGAGTCCCGGTTTTGATCTCTGCTCACAGAACTCTGAACACGAGCAAAGGGATTGTGAGAGATAGAGACAGATTATTCACAGACATGACTGAGATTGAAATTGTTACTGAGATGAAAGATCAAGGCGTTATCTTCGTCAAAAGGTTTACCACCCGCAAGAACGACCAAACTCAACCAACTAACACATACCTCTTTTCTTTTTCCGCTCCGACTGCTCCAAAATCAATAAAAGCAGGGTACTGCAGTATCAATGTTGACACTTACATTCCAAATCCTTTGCGATGTTTTAAATGTCAAAAATATGGCCATGGTGTGAATACTTGCACATTGACTGTTACATGTGCTCACTGTAGTGAGAATACGCATGTAACAGAAGAATGTGACAGCAGCTTTAAGAAGTGTGCCAACTGTTTGGGAAATCACTCATCTTTCTCCAAAGAATGCCCTATCTGGAAAAAACAAATGGAGATCAACAAAATTAAATTCACACAAAACATCAGTTTTGCAGATGCAAAAAAACTTGTTCAAACTCATGAACCAAATGAATCTTATGCGTTCATTACCAGGTCACCAGCTGAACCAACCCCCAAAGTACCCACTTCATCTGTAACAACATCTTCGACATACTGCCAAACCGACTTGACATGGGTTACCTCGGATAATCCTGTAATATTCTCAAATGAACAGTCAACTCAAACTGCAGAATCTCAACTTCAATCACAATCATCTACTCCATCCCAGAAACAATCATCATCTCAGTCAGCATCAAACCATAAATCACAAACAAATATGAAACAAGCTGCTAAAACCAAGGTAAAACCTGGAACGGAACCGTCTAAAAATTTTAACACTGGCAGACCCACAAAAGGATCAAAGAACCAGATACAACTTTACAACAAGTTTGGTTCTCTTGAGGACATGGATGTGTCCGAAAACATCCAGCTTAGGACACACAGCTTGTCGCCCTCTAGAAAAGTGCGGGGCAGATCCCCGGTAAACCCTCCTAAGAGTTAGTTTCTTCACATGTTGTACAGTGGAATTGTAGGGGCCTGAAGAATAATTTTAATGAATTACTGCTTTTAGTACAGGACTTACAACCATCAGCATTCTGTCTACAAGAAACCTATCTAAAGCAGACAGATACTTTTAACCTACGTCAGTTCATTGCATACCATTCTTTTTCTCCTCCTGGTGATAGGGCCACTGGAGGATCCTCCATCATTGTGAAGCAAAATGTTATCCATAGCCCTGTTATACTTAATACCAATCTGCAAGCCGTTGCAGTACGTCTAACTTTGCACGTTGCATTTACTTTATGCTCGCTGTATATTCCGCCTTCTTCAACTCTCCATCAGTCTGATCTTCAAAGTCTTTATGATCAACTCCCAAAACCCTGTGTCATCATTGGTGATTTGAATGGCCACAACCCTTTATGGGGTGGTACAAATACTAACACAAAAGGTAAGATTCTTGAGGAGTTTGTATCTACTAATGAACTGTGTATCTTCAATGATGACTCCCACACCTATCTGCATCCTGCAACTGGCACTTACTCTTCTTTAGATTTGTCTCTAACCGATTCTAATCTACTCAACGAATTCGAATGGACAGTCCACAATGACCTTTGTGGAAGTGACCATTTCCCAACAATCCTATCAACTGTAAATCCGACTGATGTTCCTCCTTCTACAAGATGGAATTTTACAAAGGCCAACTGGCCTTTTTTTCAAACACTGTGCTTAAATAAAATAAAACCCGAATGTTTCAGTGATATTGCTGATCCTATTCAGGTTTTTTCTGACGTTTTAAAAGACATTGCTGATGAATGTATACCAAAGTCCTCTACAAATCCACATATACGAAAGCCATGGTTTAACTCCGATTGTAAACAAGCTAGGAAAGCTAGAAAAAAGGCAGAAAAATACTTCTGCCATCACCCAACTGTCCACAATCTAAATAAATTAAAAATTTTGAATGCAAAAGCACGTCGTACGTTCAAACAAAATAAACGCCAATCTTGGCGTAATTATGTTACTAAAATAAATTCAAGAACTCCAATATCTAAGGTTTGGAATATGGTGCAACGAATAAAAGGTAAAGGCTCCAAATCTAGTGTTCACCATCTTAAAGAGGGTGACACATTACTAACTGATAAAACTGATATAGCCAATAAATTAGGAGAAACTTTAGCTAAACATTCTTCATCATCTAATTATGTCCCAAAATTTCAGAAATTTAAAGAACAACAAGAAAGAAAGAAAATCAATTTTAACTCTGATAATGGTGAAGATTATAATGAAGTTTTCTCCATTCATGAGCTAAATACTGCCTTATGGCAAGCTCATGATACAGCTACAGGTGCTGATAATATCCACTATCAGTTACTTAAACATTTACCTGAATCCTGTTTAGAAACACTATTAAATATATTTGATAATATCTGGACAACTGGTAATTTCCCTTCGTCATGGCGGAATGCTATTATCATTCAAATCCCAAAACCTGGACGGGATCACACTGATCCTTCAAATTATAGGCCAATATCGCTTACTAGCTGTGTTTGTAAGACCATGGAAAGAATGGTCAATAATAGATTAATATGGTACTTAGAAACAAATAATCTAATAACGAATATTCAATGTGGTTTCAGGAAAAATAGAAGTACTATTGACCATTTAGTTAGATTAGAATCATTTGTAAAAAATGCTATCATCAATAAACAACACACCGTATCTATATTTTTCGATTTAGAAAAAGCATACGATACGACCTGGAAACATGGAATTTTAAAGGATCTTCATGAGATGGGGTTGAGAGGCCGTTTGCCTTCTTTTATATCACAGTTTTTAACAGATAGAAATTTCCAGGTACGTGTGGGATCCACTTTGTCTGATTTTTACGATCAAGATCAAGGTGTCCCCCAAGGTAGCATCTTATCAGTAACGTTGTTTAGTATCAAGATTAATAGTTTAGCTAAGGTTTTGAATGACTCTATTGATGGGTCGTTATTTGTTGACGATTTTAATATCTCATGTCGAGGTAAAAATATGAACACGATTGAAAGACAGTTGCAACTTTGTCTGAATAAAATCAATGTTTGGGCAGAGCAGAACGGCTTTAAATTTTCTAAATCTAAAACTAATTGTATCCATTTCTGTCGAAAGTATCAACCCCATAAGGACCCAGAATTACATCTAGCTGGATCTCCAATAAATGTCGTAAAAGAAGCTAAATTTTTAGGAATAATTTTTGATCATCACCTTACGTTTTTACCACATATTAAATATTTGAAAGCTAAATGTCTGAAGGCACTAGATTTATTGAAGGTAGTTTCTAATTCCAAGTGGGGAGGAGATCAAACGACCCTCCTTCACTTATATAGATCACTTGTCCGTTCTAAGCTCGATTATGGCTCCATCATATATGGTGGAGCCTGTAAAAGCAATCTTAAACTTTTAGATACAATCCATCATCACGGTCTAAGAGTTTGTCTTGGATCTTTCCGAACCTCCCCTATTGACAGTTTGTACATTGAGGCCGACGAACCATCTCTTCAACAGCGCCGTATTAAACTTTCATTGCAGTATATCACAAAGTTATATTCTAATGAGTCAAACCCCGCATACAGCTGTGTATTTAATCCCCTTTATGAGGAACTGTTTAGTAAAAAGTCATCTCTTATTCCGCCTCTCGGAATAAGAATTAAACCTTTTATTTCTGCTGCTGACATAAACCTTGAAAATATATCTCCTTTCCGTCTGTTTTCCTCTCCTCCTTGGCAATTGGTAAAGCCACAGGTGGATCTTACATTATCTACACTAAAGAAATCTGACACGAACCAACTACAATATCAACAAGAGTATAATCAGTTAAGAAGCGAATATAACACTTACAAATCAATATTTACAGATGGATCCAAGGATGGAGGTGCTGTTGCCAGCGCAACCATCATTGGATCCAGAACTCTATCAAACAGGTTACCAGATGACTCCTCAATTTTTACAGCAGAATCAAATGCCATATTAACTGCTCTCAACTATATCAATAGCCAGTCCAAACATAATGAATTTATCATTTTTTCAGACTCATTGTCCTGTCTTCAAGCCATAAAAAATATGTCGTGTCAGCATCCAGTTTTACTTGACATAATTGAATTACACAATAATCTTGCAACTGGCCAATACGACATCGTCTTTTGTTGGTTACCCAGCCATGTTGGGATCGTTGGTAACACTTTGGCTGATGCTGCTGCTAAGGCAGCACTCAACAAATCTGTGACACCACTTCTTATACCCTATAGTGATTATAAACCTGTCATTAGATCTTACATCAGAGATCTAATGCAGAAGAAGTGGGACACCCAAGTGGGTATAAATAAATTACATGCAATAAAAGCAAATATCGGTTATACTTACTTGGGTTGTCAGTCCAGATTTGAAGAGGTCGTCTTAAGACGATGTCGTATTGGTCATTCTCGATATACTCATGAATATCTACTTAAAGGTGAGGATCCTCCATTCTGCATCCCTTGTGATGAAAGAATCACGGTCAAGCATGTCCTGCTTGACTGTATTGATTTTTCCATCACAAGGGATAAATATTTCAAAGTTTCAGGAATCAAGGATCTTTTTAATCAGGTAAGTTCTCATTTTATTCTTGGTTTTTTAAAGGATATTGACTTGTTACAAAAATTTTGATTATGTTTTGTATATAAATAAATTAACTTTTACAATTGGTAAAATAAATCAGTGACTGAGATCGTTAGTGGCTATATCCTCAAAGGGGGTTGAAGTAGTGTAAAATTATTGTCCCCCTGAGAGGGTATGTAAGACCACGTCTTTCAAAGTATATTTATTTATACCACGGTTTTAATCGTAGCATATGTGTTATTTTAATGTTTGCTAAATTTGTCAAAAATCGCCAACAGCTGAAGGGCAGATGTAAATCCGGCTGGGGTCCATGCAGGTAGCAAAAGTACTGTAAGTCCCCATGGACCCTAGCATGGTGTTCTCTCTTCAGTGGCTGGCGATCTATAGCTCATTTTTATCTTGTATTGTTTCGTATGATGTTATATTTTTATGGCTCCCTACTAGTTTTAGATATAATCTGTGATACATCTAGTTATTTTACTGTCCTTCGTTGACAGGTTTTTATTTCGTATAAATATGTGTATTATTAATGTACTTCTCGTCACGATATGGCTGAAATACTGCCGATGTGACGTTAAATCTTAACTCACTCACTCACTCACCCCTACTGTCCACATCTCGTATTGTGGTACCTGTCCACATCTCGTATTGTGGTACCTGTCCACACCTCGTATTGTGGTACCTGTCTCTGCACGCCATGAAGATGACGCAATGCAAATACAGCTACGAACGCTTTACATCTATATTAACGCAAAACCACATTGAAGTCAATTGTTATAAATAAATATGTCAACATTATAAAAGAACACGACCCAATTAGGCCGGGCTCGGCTGTCTTGCATGAAAGCCGAGCTTGAAATTAAGACAAGAGATACAAGAGATATTTGGTTATTTGGAGGATGAAATGATCGCGGATGTGGAGGTACTGGTGGACTGCAGAAAATGAGCTCAGCTCATGCTTAGAGAACCCAGTAGCAACCGTTGCCAATAAATGGAGAGACTGTTGCCCTGCAACTACCACTGCCAAACAACCCATGTGCAAAGCCGCCACCGTGGTCTTGTGGTTGAGCATCCGCCCGGAGAGCGGAAGGTCCGGAGTTCGATCCCCAACCGCGTCATACCAAAAGACATTAAAAGATGGTACTTGTTGTTACCCTGTCTGGCGCTCGGCATGAAGGGGCTAAAACAAGGACTGGTCGGCTCGGAGTCAGTTTACTGTGCCTGAGTGGGGTATTCATGTTAAACTGCGGCATGGTATCTCAGTGAGCTAGCACTATAAATCGGCATCAGTCCGGACTAGTACAAGCAGCCACACAAACACACACACGTACATGCACGTCGCTACATAAGTGCAATAATCTTGGACGCGACGTTAAACCCCATCCAACAACAACATATTTTATCAGTCATCTTAAGAATGCATGCACCCATGTTTGATGGGGACTGAGAATGAAACAAACAAGAAATGGTTATTCGATGGTGATGTATTTTATATGGGTATCATAGTTGTGAATTGGACCTCAAGTTTGCAGATATGGTGACTGTTTTCAGCCAAGGGACATTTTGATAACGTTTGTAATTGGTCAAATCTATTTTTTAAGTGCATGCTTTCTTTTGCCCTGCAGTTTTTAGAAAGAAATATACAAACAGACAACTAGCGTAGCACAAGTGCTGATTCATGGCCAAGTAGTATTTATTATGACAATCTCTGTATGCAAACAGTTAAACGATGTACACACATTGACAGTGATGCACGGACAACATATTCTGATTCAACCTGCTTCAGTAGCTTGTCATTGGACCACAGATTCCGAGAGATTTGACCCAGTTTATACTTGGTCATGTTGATGTATGCTATTGATGTTGAGAAGTGAACATGAGTTAAATATAATTGAATGTCAGGATGCTAAAAGCATTTTGAAAACAAAAGCATTAATACAATACTCTTACACACAAGAAATAGTTTACATGTCATGACACACATATTCCAGCAGTGAAAAAAGTAAACATAACACAACTTGAAAGGAAACTTGTTCATATTAATTGCACAAATTAAACCATTATAAACATCCTAATTTTACAAGTGAATATATTGCAGATTATACATGCTGAACGAGAAAGCTGTTAGTGTTACATGCAAACCTCTTCATGAAGCCCCAGAGAATTCTCAACAAAAACATATATGGTGAATCACTTTGATAGTGACATCAGTTAAGGCACTGGTATGCATGTTTCCTCTGACTAACAATGCAATATTTTGTAATAAAGTAATATTTGAGGTTGACATGAGTTGGCAAAACAAATTGATATTTGGATAAGATGTAAACTTCTTTGGAATATACTTGTTTCTTAATTGAAGAAGTTTACACACAAGCATAAAATGATACTTATTTTCTACAACATTAAGGTTACAAGATGTACAGATATTGTTAGACCTTTATAAATATACCTTTATAGATCTTTAAATCATAATAACCTGCCACTTTGATACTCACATCAGTTAAGGCACTGACTGCACACATGCCCAGTACAGTACAACTTTGAAACAGAAAGTCCCATGCAACTCTCTACCGTAATAGCCAAGGTATAAGCACTTCTGTTTTATAACATAACTTCAGTATGGGAAAACACATGCAATGCAGTACAACCTTGAAATCTTGAAAGTCCTATGCCTCTAGCTGCCTTACATAACAAGCACATCTGGTTTAATTACCTTGACATTCAATCTCAACCACGAACGATCAAGATATGTTTATAAAGTCTTGTCAAGTTCTATTTACATATAAATGTTTAAGATACATTGTGAACACACATTTTTAATGAAAGTACAATTCCTTGAATAAACATGATAAAGACAGACAAAATGAAATAACTTCAACCAGCAACTGCTACAATGTCGGACTTTTACACACTGTGATACAGGAATCATGACTATACAGGTGGTCCAAACATAACACCATTGTTACAGCTGCCTTAAAGCAAAATACAGATTACAAACATGCAAATTCTCCAAAACTCATCCACGTGCAAACCATGTGACCATGCCTGTGTGTGATCTGCATGTTAAACATGAACACAAGGTCTACGAAAGTGCAGGGTTTTCGTTTACGTGTCCTCTTTATTTGGACGACGTCACGTGACCTTCCCAGATCTGGTAAATCAAGTGTGACCCCCACAGCCCAGGACAGTAAAACCATACTCACTCACTCACTATTATTTGACCTCCAGTGACCTTGACCTTATATGGAGGTCACCAAACGTAAGAGATCACATATACTAAGATTCATGAAATTCCATAAATAAATACTCAAGTTATGGTGTACACAGGCTTTTTGAACCTCTCATGTCATCTAATCATATGTAAAAACATCCTTGGGGTATAAAGCTTTGAAGTCTGTAACATCTGTCAACCTCAAAACCAAGCAAATATATTAAGCAGCACCCCTGACGGGCCTAATTTAAATAGGAAATGTTACAAACTTTGCTCCTACAGCCAACATATCAATAATGGTAATCTCATTAAAGTCATATCAATTAGGTCACTTCAATTCTGTCCAGATTTACCACCATACAAAAGGATGATGCGTGGTTTTTTTAGTCACTCACGAGATGTCACTTTCCGGAAACTATTCTACTTCACTATATTGTCAACGTGATCTGTTGTCACTTGCAGTTTCTTACCAACTCTGTACACAAAACACCAAACTCGTGATCACAAATTACCCAGCCTTGATTTTCATTAGCCAGTTTGATTTGCTTCGCTACTCAGTCATGGAAATCAACCAGAATGCGAGTTACATGGCAATGTTGGGCTGTCGATATCAACAACATGGCGCCAGGCCCACTGATTATGTAAGAGCTTGTGAGATAGATAGCATGCCCTGTGTCCTGTAATTAGCGACAGGTACTACCATGGGGGATTTCGTGCACCGGATTATGGCTATTTACTGAGTGACTCACCATGTAATATTCTGGCAGTGGAGTCTTGTATCTTTCAGGAGACCATATTTTGGGGTTTCTACTTCAAATTTTTCACAACAACTGATCTGCAGAAAATCTTGCTCATCAAGGGTGCGTCCCCCACTTCTTGCGGCATACCAGTCATGATTACATATAACCAAACCATTCAGTGAATTGTTATTGTCTTATATATGGATAACAATTGAGTAACTGTCTTACAAATGCACTTTGTTTCCTGAATCCTGTGTAAGCATTTCTTTCTTCAAAAGGCTGTGCATCTTTCCTTTTCTGTACCAGTGTATCCAAACTTGCAGGTGAATGTATAGCATGGTAAAGAACAGTCCTGTTGATTTGTTTGATAGGAGACTGGATAGTGCTGGATGTCCACCCATCTGAGCTACACATTCAATGTCCTCATTACTGTCTGTTAGAAGTGTGAGGTCAGCTTTGTGCTGCACAAGGAGGTCGACCACATCTTTATGTCCATGAAATACAGCCTTCATAACTGGTGTGTATCCATGACAGGACATGTAGTATTATAGCAGTGTTCCCACCCTGACATGCAAGATGAAGTAAACTATGACCAGATGTATCCACCAGTGTAAGGTCAGCTTTGCTGGACATTAGGAGCTCAAACACACTTTGATGTCCTCTGACAGCTGCCACCATTACTGGTGTGTATCCATCTATCCCTCTACTGTTGATGTTAGAAGGAGACAGGACATGTTGTACTATAGCAGTGTTCCCACCACGACAGGCAAGATGAAGTAAACTATAACCATCTGTATTCACCAGTGTGAGGTCAGCTTGGTTGGACACAAGGAGGTCAAACACACTTTGATGTCCACTGACAGCTGCCACCATTACTGGTGTGTATCCATCTATCCCTCTACTGTTGATGTTAGAAGGAGACAGAACATGTTGTACTATAGCAGTGTTTCCACCCTGACAGGCAAGATGAAGTAAACTATTACCATGTGTATCCACCAGTGTGAGGTCAGCTTGGTAGGACACAAGGAGGTCAAACACACTTTGATGTCCACTGACAGCTGCCACCATTACTGGTGTAAATCCATGTATCCCTCTACTGTTGATGTTAGAAGGAGACAGGACATGTTGTACTATAGCAGTGTTTCCACCCTGACAGGCAAGATGAAGTAAACTATTGCCATCTGTAACCACCAGTGTGAGGTCAGCTTGGTTGGACACAAGGAGGTCAAACACACTTTGATGTCCACTGACAGCTGCCACCATTACTGGTGTGTATCCACGTATCCCTCTACTGTTGATGTTAGAAGGAGACAGGACATGTTGTACTATAGCAGTGTTTCCACCCTCACAGGCATGATAAAGTAAACTATTACCAGATGTATTCACCAGTGTAAGGTCAGCTTGGTTGGACACAAGGAGGTCAAACACACTTTGATGTCCACTGACAGCTGCCATCATTACTGGCGTGCATCCATGCCTCCCTCTACTGTTGATGTTAGAAGGAGATAGGACATGTTGTACTATAGCAGTGTTTCCACCATGACAGGCAAGATGAAGTAAACTATTACCATCTGTATCCACCAGTGTGAGGTCAGCTTGGTTGGACACAAGGAGGTCAAAAACACTTTGATGTCCCCTGAAAGCTGCCACCATTACTGGTGTGCATCCTTGTATCCCTCTACTGTTGATGTTAGAAGGAGACAGAACATGTTGTACTATAGCAGTGTTCCCACCATGACAGGCAAGATGAAGTAAACTATTACCATCTGTATCCACCAGTGTGTGGTCAGCTTGGTTGGACACAAGGAGATCAAACACACTTTGATGTCCACTGACAGCTGTCACCATTACTGGTGTGTATCCACGTATCCCTCTACTGTTGATGTTAGAAGGAGACAGAACATGTTGTACTATAGCTGTGTTTCCACCCTGACAGGCAAGATGAAATAAACTATTACCATCTGTATCCACCAGTGTGAGGTCAGCTTGGTTGGACACAAGGAGGTCAAACAAACTTTGATGTCCATTGAAAGCTGCCACCATTACTGGTGTGTATCCATGTGTGCCTCTACTGTTGATGTTAGATGGAGACAGAACATGTTGTACTATAGCAGTGTTTCCACCCTCACAGGCAAGATGAAGTAAACTTCTACCATCTGTATCCACCAGTGTGAGGTCAGCTTGGTTGGACACAAGGAGGTCAAACACACTTTGATGTCCACTGACAGCTGCCACCATTACTGGTGTGTATCCATGTGTGCCTCTGCTGTTGATGTTAGAAGGAGACAGAACGTGTTGTACTATAGCTGTGTTCCCACCCTGACAGGCAAGATGAAGTAAACTTCTACCATCTGTATCCACCAGTGTGAGGTCAGCTTGGTTGGACACAAGGAGGTCAAACACACTTTGATGTCCATTGAAAGCTGCCACCATTACTGGTATGTATCCATGTGTGCCTCTACTGTTGATGTTAGAAGGAGACAGAACATGTTGTACTATAGCAGTGTTTCCACCCTCACAGGCAAGATGAGGTAAACTATTACCATCTGTATCCACCAGTGTGAGGTCAGCTTGGTTGGACACAAGGAGTTCAAACACACTTTGATGTCCATTGATAGCTGCCACCATTACTGGTGTAAATCCATGTCTCCCTCTACTGTTGATGTTAGATGGAGACAGGACATGTTGTACTATTGCAGTGTTCCCACCACGACAGGCAAGTTGAAGTAAACTATTACCATCTGTATTCACCAGTGTGAGGTCAGCTTGGTAGGACACAAGGAGGTCAAACACACTTTGATGCCCATTGAAAGCTGCCACCATTACTGGTGTGCATCCATTTGTGCCTCTACTGTTGATGTTAGAAGGAGACAGGACATGTTGTAATATAGCAGTGTTTCCACCCTGACAGGCAAGTTGAAGTAAACTTACACTATGTGTACACACCAGTGTGAGGTCAGCTTGGTAGGACACAAGGAGGTAAAACACACTTTGATGTCCATTGAAAGCTGCCACCATTACTGGTGTGTATCCATGCATCCCTCTACTGTTTATGTTAGAAGGAGATAGGACATGTTGCACTATAGCCTTGGTACCACCAATACAGGCAAGATGAATAATTCCGTAGCTATTTTTGTCTTTCAAATTCAAGTTTGATATTGTCTGCAGTAACTTAAAACATCCCTCTGATCCCGTGTGTGCTGCAACCATGACGGGGGTCCTGCCATTCACATCAACAGAGTTTATAGAATTATTCCCAGGTTTCCTGGTTAACAGGACTTTCAGGGTTTTTTCCATTCCTGATTTACAGACAAGATGGAAGATGGTTTGCATTCCCTTGTCTCTAGTGTTAATATCAGCGCCTTCCTGAAGCAGATAACCTAGTATGTCAGAGTTGCCATTTACAGCAGCTACCAACAAGAGTCTGTTCAGTGTCAACTGATGGTCATGTTTCTCACTCCTGCTGAACAGCCATTTCAATGCTGTCACATTGTTGCTTTGTGCACATCCTTCCATGGCCTCACTGATCTCTTCTTCAGTGAACTCTTCTCCAGTTGTGTGTTCTATATCTGTAATTAGACGTGCATTATGTCCAAGAACTGCCCAGTACAGAAAACATTGTCCCTTCTCTTTCTTGTGAAACCAAGGTTTTTCCTCAGAATGAGTTTGATTAGGCTGGTGAAGCTGTTTTGTCCGATCACACTGAAGTTTGTTGAGCAGCTTGAAAACCGCGGCGTCGTGTTTGAGAATTGGATGTGTCACTGATTTAGAAAACTGTCCTTGTTTGATAGACTGTGCAAACCTTGTGGTAAGTAGGTCATCATAATTCTTTGAGACATATATCAAATGGAGATGATCATCAACTTTGGTTTCCTCAACCTTTTCACTCTGTACCCTTTCAAACAGAAAGTCATCACTGCAGTGCTTAAAAACAAAGATTGGACTGATGTTATACAAGGCACAGGCACAAGCATCATAGATTGAAGAATGAGCAAATCCAACAGTGTCTCCTCTCGTGAAGAATGTACCTCTCAAACTTTTAGCTGCTTTGTACATGCCTGAACGTGTAGCGTCAGACATCAGCCGTAAAACAGTTTTGACCAGGCTGTCGATTTCCTTATCCTCACCTTCACTGTCTAACTTGGTCAGGTCCAATTTGTCTTCACACAGTAGCATCAGAACCAGAATGGCTGATCGGTCATTTCTCTCTTCAAGCAAATGCTTTAGTTCTAGCCTGAGATAAAACAGAGGTTCTTTGAAAAAAGATTTTGCATTTTTGTAGAAAGATGAAAATTCAAAACAAAGTTTACAAATAAGAGGGAATCCAAAGATATTTGAACAGATTTCCAGCTCACTGTAATCAGGTATATGTTGCATGGAGCAGTCACCAAGAGCATTCCTAAGTTGTTCAAATATTGTCTTTTTCTCTTTGTCAGAAAGCCAGTATTTATCTTGTGTGGTTAAATCCATTACAGTTTGACCTTTGAACAGTTTGAAACCCTCGTACTGCAGTTTTGCAAGTCCATCATGGAAGTTGTATGACTTTGATGTGAAGATCACACGAATATCTTTTGTTTGAAATTCTGGTTGACTCTGCACTTTCTTTCTGGATTTACCAACAGCATTATAGCTTTCATGCATTTCTGACTGCAGCTTTTCCGCACTCCACTTTTGTTCTAAATGGAGGAGAAGGTTGTTTAGAAAGGATTTCACCTGTGATGTATTCGCAGATAATCCAACAGTACCAAACATGTCATCTACTATGAGGAATACTCTGGGGTGTCTAGTAAGACAGTGGTCTAAGTCAAACTTCTCAATATTGTCCACAAACACGACCTCGTAGCCTTTGTCTCTGTACTTGAACCTAACACCAGAGCCATCGTTGTCTTGCCTTCTCCTGAAGCCCCACAGATGGTCACATGTCCAAATTCCTTCAATTTTCGTTTCACGTCTTTGAAGGGTTCAGTTGGAAGAAAAATCTTCTTCGCTTCGTCTGTACGCAAATCAAGGGTACCTGGGGAGGAATGAAAACTATTTACTATGAACACTTGGAATGAAACATAAGAAACCAAAATAGATACCTCTTTCATACTGTGTGGAACACTTGATTGTATTGATTTTTCAATCACAAGGGATAAATATTTCAATGTTAAAACAATTAAGGACCTTTTTAATGATGTTAATTCTCGTTTACTGTTATGTTTTTTAAAAGAAATAGAGCTTTTTCATAAATTTTGATGTGCTAACTGTATTGTTTTAAAAATTGGTAGTGCAATTTTATAACTTAGATTGTTAGCGGCTATACCCTTGAGGGGGGTTGAAGTAGCGTAAAATTATTGTCCCCCTAAGAGGGTATGTAAGTCCCATTTCATTCCAGGTATTTTTCTGCATACCAGGCTTTTAAACGTAGTATATTCGTTATTTTAATCTAAGGCTTAACTGATACACTGTCGTCAGTGACTGAAGGGATGATATAAATACTGCCGGGGTCAGTGCAAGAAGCTAAGGTACTGTAAGTCCCCATGGTCCCCAGTATGGTGATCTCCTTTCAGTGGCTGACGATTTCTAGCCCATTTTTATATTGTGATGTTCATTAATGCTTACTGTTTTTATCATTCAAAACTAGTTTTAAATCAAGTCTGTGATATTCTAGTTATTCTACTGTCCTTCGTCGACAGGTTTTTATTTCGTATAATTATGTGTATTATTAATGTACTTCTCGTCACGATATGGCTGAAATACTGCCGATGTGACGTTAAATCTTAACTCACTCACTGTGTGGAACATCTTTTTGTGTAGGAGGAGAAAGGATCATCTGAATTTTCTCATGATGAAATATTTCAACTTTCACTGAAAAATCTTTTATGTCTCCACAGTACTTTAAACTGAACACTGAACATGACCATCTTTGATAAGTGACGAGTGCTTGGCATTGTGGCATCAGTTGTTGATACACACTGAATTGCAAGCATAGAGAAAACGATCTTTTCATACGAACTTGTTCCTGATTTAGTGTACACAACAACAACTTTATTTAGGAGATAAACATACTGTGTTTTCAATGTAGAGCTAGGTTACCTGTAGATTTAACTGAGCTAAATTGAATTTGGAACCGAACGCGCAGCGTGAGGTTTCAAATGTAAAATTTAGCGCGGTTAAATCTACAGGTAACCTAGCTCTACATTGAAAACACAGTGTTTATCTCCATTCTACCATGACTAAATAAAACGCGTTCTCTTTGGTGTTAGCAAATATATACTCAGTGAAGCGGCATGGGTTGAGTTCAGTGTTTTGAGTGGGTTATCAATCTGAATTACGGAATCACCGAACAAAATATGGTGCTGTATATACTCAAGCAGTTTGTTAACACCATAATACTTCACTCGAACATATGACAGGCATTGAAAGCATATAAGCACGGCAACTTGGTAAGCTAACATGAGGTGGGCATCCCTTAAGAAAACAAACCAAGCTTTGCAAGGCTTTCGCTCTACATCGCATGTCACCATTATGACGTCATACCGCTCATTGTGACGCAAAATATATGACGTCACAGTGGTATAAAAAAAAGCACCACAATTCCAAGCTCTCTGTTGTCTCCAAAACGTAAATACATTCCCTCTGTAGATTTCTATCGTGTTTTCTCCATGAAATGTATTGCCACACATCCTTTGAATATTTTAGTAACTGAATCTGTGCATTTTGTAACCTGTAATTGTAGATATAATTATTTAAATATGCCTACCGACAATGACTGAAAATAGTACTATTCTATGAATATTAGCTTCCACGATGATGCGGCCGTCAAACCAGCTGTTTCAATCAGAGGTTTTTTTGTGTGATTTAATAGCCTCTGATTGACCAATCAGAATCGAGTAGATTCCAAATTCATGGTAGAATATAGATTAGCAAACATGAACTGGTTCCCAGCTCTCTATGCGCGTCAACTTGGGATATGAAGAGACGGGGCCCAGCTTCTAGCAAACACTGCACATTGACTGGTACTCGGTACAACCAGTATGGAAAATGAAATTAAATTATTGAACGAGGCAAATCACAAAACGCTTCGCCCCCTTTTCCCAAAGCTATATCGGCGTTTGGATCACTACCATATATTCGTGTCATTAAACAAAAACGTGTTCCTCAATGGATTTTAGGTGTTTGTATTAAAACAATATTATTGAATCCCTGAGGACAAATTAATAAGGTAGCAATATGGTACATGCTGTCAGTATTTCAAGTAAATATAAAACGTCAACGCCAGAGAATAACCAGTCTCGATTATCGGCCGAAACCGATTCCATTGGACGTAAAAGTCAAAATGGCGGTTACAGTGATGTGAATGGATCACTGAAAATCTATTCGCGGAAAGCATCAGCGTGTTCCATAAACATCTAAGTTTTCTAGATATCGCAAATTTGACTTTATAACCATCTCCTAAAATACATTTTAAGATAAGACATCACGTATGTTATGATTTTAATTTGTCATATCTGTAATAGGGCTTCCACGAGTCTAAGTTTTGAAACTAGACTCGTACTCGAGTACCCGAAAATAGGACGCCCTTTAAGAATATTGGTTCATTAGATCAAAATTGCCATCTAAAATTATTAAAACATGTTATAGGTATAATTGAACTGCACTGAAATGTAAATAGAGAGTGTCCACGGAACTTGTTTATCTGTCAAAGTGTATGGAAGTGATCAGTGTTAATGTTTGCTTGTGACTGCACTAATCTTAATCACGACCTTCAAAAACATTACGCCACGTCTACAAATACTACAATACATATTGAACACAAACCAAGTTTTTTTTTTTTCTGACGATCAGCTTTCGACACCTGCCAAAAAGCACGAACAATAATTCGCAGGAAGAAAATCGATAATATGCATCACGATATACACGTATACACAGCTGCTGGGCTGCAAGACTAAGGCCGATAAATATTGAAATGTAGTACTATAAGTTTATTCATTCATGAGTTGGTCACGTTTTCAAACTGTACCAAACTGTCGTCCTGTCGCTTGATTTGTAAGCACTGAAATAACACATATATATCAGCTAATCAGTTATTAATCTGTGTAAGGGAATACACTTGGCATTTGATGTCGGAGCAAAGAAGCAATAATCGCCGTGATACATTCAGTTTCTTAAAGTCGGGAAAGAAAAACAATAATTACGTCTATTTTATGTGACATTCTCAATTGTTCTCATGTACATCTACTTTCTACAAAGAATACATTATTCAAACAATATTTTTTGAAGCTTTAATCAATATACTGATGAACAATTGAACATTGAAACAGAGTGATCTCCCCTTATCGAGTACTCGAGTCCTTGATAACGGACTCGAGTCCCAGTAAAACCGACCCGGCCCCGAGTACTCGAGTACTCGTTGAAGCCCTAATCTGTAAATATTGTTTTGTTGTTAATAATAATTATGTTCTAGCTGAAAACCGTTATCTTTGAATTTCGATTTAGAAGCTTCAATCGGGGTAGGAATCTGTAGTCAGGTGACAGCGATTGGCTATATTTAGTAGCGTATGCAGCATACCTCCATCATTGTTCATTACCAGCTTGGACTGAAATAAAACACAACTGGTGCACATGCAGTATTTAAAGCGCTACTGACCAAGTTCATTGCCAGTCACTCAGTCGGATTGTAAGCACGGGAACAAAATTCAATGAGGATGTTTATCGCTTCTAAAATAGATTTTTCTGGAAAAGCTCAGTTTGCAATTTTTATCATAACTGTAAGTAATTCATATTCCCTTATCGCCGGACTGGCTTGTTTCCACTTTATCAGTATTAGCACACATGCACTTGTCTTCATTATTCAATCATCGCGGTATTTCCTGATTCTGTTTCAAGTGTAGACTAACATATAGTCAGTCTTTTATCACACAATAGATTCTCGCGTCTACAATTAATACAATTAATTAATTCCCGATGCTGATTTCATATGGAATATGTGGAATAGAGCTGGCTAGAGATGGTTGGACTTGCTTTTATATAAATCTAGACTGGTTTTGTTTTTAAAATACTATATTCCACAGTCAAGGTGCGGGACTAATTCGAGTGGCGAGGACAAGTCTCCACGCAGCACTCATTTAACACCAGAATTTTGGGGTACAAGTCTTATCCTCAAAGGTAATGAGTGAGTGAGTGAGTTTGGTTTAACGCCGCTTTCAACAGTTTTCCAGTTATATCACGGCGTGTCAGTGATGCAAGTCTCAGACGTTTACCACTTCGGTGAAACCAACGAGCAGGGGTATGGTGCTGACAAATCTAGAAACATAATCGGGGCGAACCGGGATTCATAGGTTTCTGGCGTGCTCAAGGGACGCAACTCTGCACAGCGATCGCGGCGCCTTAGACAACTGGGCCACCCGTGCCCCCTAAAAGGTAATGAAGTACAGAAAATTTAATAACGTTTTGTTTGATGTCATGGCTTGTTTTTTCAATATCTCTTTGACGAAGTCAGAGAGACAATACATTGCTATATTGAGTAACATATACACATGACCATTATGTTAGTACCACCAACATTAAAAAATGACACCATAAAAGAATAGTTAACTGACAAACAGAACGCGTGGCACTACCATCCCAATAATGAAGCTGACACGAAGAACCGGTACCGATTAAAGCCTAATTCAAAGAAGTCTGATAACATCCATTTCAACAACGCTAAATAAAATCAGCACCACGAATCGGACTGTCACATTATGCAGCGAGAAACGACTATTGTCAACCTAGGAATCACCGCTGTCTCTGCAATCAGTATGTGGAGTATCCACCTCTCACTGATTCCTGTCGCTTGGCATCTCCCCATGCTGCTGGTCAGACGTCTGAGTTTCAACATTGAAATCTTCTGCCATTACTAGTGCAGTGCCTGTGTCAGTTCGTTCCGGTTTTGAACTGGAGGGACTCTAGCTCTCAATAGGAGGCCAGCGTAATCTCAACGGGTCCAGATCAGGTTCTGTCAATATTTTTTTCGGATTTTGATTTTAAATCAGGCAATGCTTACTTTATGTTCATGTGTATAAATTATTATAATGTGAACTTGACTCGACCCTTTAGGTCAGCTGGCCGGAGAAGGTGAGGTGAGGTGAGCTGAGGTGAGGTGAAATGGGATTCAACGTCGCGTCCAAGATTTTGCACTGAAATAGCGACGTGCATGCGCGCGGGTGTGTTGCTGCTTGTACTAGTCCGGACTGATGTCGATTTATAGTGCTAGCTCACTGAGATACCATGCCGCAGTTTAACATGAATACCCCACTCAGTCACATTATGCTGACTACGAGCCGATCAGTCAATGTTTTAGCCCCTTAATGCCGAGCGCCAGACAGGGTAACAACAAGTACCCCCTTTTAACGTCTTTTGGTATGACGCGGCCGGGGAATCGAACCTCGGACCTTCCGTCCTCTACCACTAGACCACGGAGGCGGTCTCTGGTCGGAGGAGATACAGGGTATTCATAAGACACATCTGCAATATTTATAATTATAATTTCCACCAGGTGTATTGGAATTCATGGGTGTCACGTGTTTTCACATGGACTGTACCTGTCTTTCCCCGAGTCCCCTTGTATTACCATTCATGAAGTGTTTTGCTATTTCCAGGATTCGAAAGATTCCGCTGGACGACGATTTTTGGCAGATGAAGAAGGCGAGCAATCCCGACTTTACTCCCGACTTTACCCCCGACTTTACCCCCGACTTTACTCCCGACTTTACCCCCGACGTTACTCCCGACTTTACTCCCGACGTTACTCCCGACTTAACCCCGACTTAACCTCCGACTTTACTCCCGACATTACTCCCGACTTTACACCCGGCTTTACTCCCGACTTTACTCCCGACTTTACCCCCGACGTTACCCTCCGACTTTACCCCCGACTTTACTCACGACTTTACTCACGACATTAATCCGGACGTTACTCCAGACTTTACTCCCGACGTTACTCCCGACTTAACCTCCGACTTTACTCCTGACTTTACTCCCGACTTTACTTCCGACTTTACTCCCGACATTACTCCTGACTTTACCCCGACTTTACTTCCGACTTTCACTCCCGACTTAACTCCCCGACTTTACTCCCGACTTAACTCCCCGACTTTACTCCCGACATTACTCCTGACTTTACCCCGACTTTACTTCCGACTTTCACTCCCGACTTAACTCCCCGACTTTACTCCCGACTTAACTCCCCGACTTTACTCCCGACTTTACTTCCGACTTAACCCCGACATTACTCCAGACTTTACTTCCGACTTAACCCCGACTTTACCTCCGACTTTACTCCCGACTTTCACTCCCCGACTTTACCCCGACTTTACTTCCGACTTTACCCCGACATTACTCCCGACTTTACGTCCGACTTTACTCCCGACTTTACCCCCGACTTAACCCCTCACCCACGTTCGTTTGTTGTTGAACGCTGAACAAAATCTGACACTTTGCATATAGAGATTATTAGCCAAGTGGTTTTCGGTATATTCCACTTCATTGTTGGGAATGTATGTTTTGTTTATTCCGTGTATATATTGACAATGTGGAAACTCACTGGGCTAATAATCTCTTGATCACATAATGTCATTCTTAAATTAAAGGATGTTTAAGAAGTAATCTGTCAGTGGAGTAGATTTAGAAACAGAGTTTAAGCACAATGTATGAGTGAACCGTCCAAAGTTTTGTTTGCATGTTGTTTAACGACGCACTTAGCAATATTCCAGCTATATCATGTATATGACGGTGGTCTGTAAATGATTGACTATGGACCAGACCAGTGATTGACATAATGAGCATCGATCCACGCAACTAAGGTACGATGACATTCATTAACCAAGTCAGCGAGCCTGACCTCCCGATCCCGTTAGTTGCCTCTTCCTGACTAATTCTAACCCGAAACATGGGAGAATATAAAAGCTCACTATTAAAGTTATATCACAGCTTGTCTGCTTGATGTGGGAGCCCAAAGTGACGCAGGTCTTAGATATGTACCTGACTTGGTTGATACATGTCATCGTATCCCAATTGCGTGGATCGATGCTCATGATATCAATCACTGGATTGTCTGGTCCAGACTCGATTATTTACAGACCGCCGTTATATAGCTGGAATAATGCAGAGTGCGGTGTTGAACGACAAACAAACAAACAAACAAACAAACAAACAAAAGATATGTATCACTTTGGTGAAACTGTGCCTTTTAGAATATAAATAACTCGGGTTACTGAGGCCCACCTGTCTTTCCGTTTCTTGTCCCGACGGTCGTGGTCCCCGGCTGCAAACGCCATGACACGTTGGCGAAAACAAACTCGAACACTGCTCTGATATTATTTAATTTATTGTCTAAATTTACAAATATGTATGTAAAAATATGATTTGTAATAACCATAATAGTTATGGAATGAAATGTACAATTGTCTCGACAGTGTCATTTGTCGCATTTCTGTATCATTCGAAAAAATAACTGACCCCACTGAACACTGTATATACACAACAACATAGGTAGGTGGAATTTTACATCCCTGTGATAGAAAAGCCTTTGTTTCCATCCCACGCGAGCAGCCACTTGAAATACTAGTACTTATTACAAAGAGAGTGGAATAAAATTACATCTTACGTCATCCCAAAGGGAAAGCAGGATTATGTATAGATAATATCTACTCCACTTTTTATAGGCATATTTTTATATTTCCTTGATACCCAAAACTAGTTCTCATCATATAATACTCAAAACAAGTTAAGAACACCAACAATTTGAAGGCTGTGACAGATTGACTAGTCATATGAAAAAATGGGTATTCTTTAACTTCTTTTGAGTAGTATGAGTCAAGTGTATATGTAGATCGAATAACAACATCTGCTTATCCCCTAGCAAACGTTGAGCAGTACATTTCTGTACACTATGTTCAAGAAATCGCGTTTCATAAAGGATCTCGCGTAGGCTTTCCTGAGTAGGCTGATCTGTGTTCTGTCAGCCTTTGATGAATCTACATTGGATGAATTTAACAGTGGTAGTTCTAAATATACACTCTTAATTGTATTCATAAACTACTCTATCACAAGCTACAGGGAGGCATTATGCTTATAAATAGTTACCAAATAACTGTACAAGCACATTCAAGACAGCTCACCATTGAACCACTTGGTCGTCATCTTTCCGGCGCAAGGGAGGTAACTTACTATAAACGTCAGGTTTCTAGAAAACTGGACTTTTATGGTCAGTTAACTCCCTTTCCTCGTGAAGATGCATGGTAGTGAAAGGGCGCAGTTAGAGGTCGGATAAATATTCATTATTTTAAGGTCACAGGTCTGCGTATTTTGTATTCGACAAAATAAACTTTTCAAGGGATTTATAAATTCAAGTCAACAAGTAACAACTCTGTCATATTTTACTCCGAAAATGAACGGCATGTCAATCGTTGGTATTAAAACGTGTTGAATATAGTGTCTAACTTGACATTTTCGAAGGCTCTGCGCATCTCCAACATTATGTTGGATTCGCTTCACAAAGACGTCTCTTGGTTGTGGGCTTAAACATCATTGCAGAAGGTGACATTGACCTGCTCCCCTATCTACAATGGTGGATATACGCTATACTCGTTATCACGTATCCCTGACCGATAGAGCCTACTATATGTCCCTCCACGTGGTGTCAGTGAGATAAACAGTGCCCCATATCAATAAGACATGTATTGATATGAGATGAAACATGTTTTTTGCAGGAACAGCAACTAGTTGAGAAGCAAGAGAGAGAAAAACTGAGGAAGAGCATGCTGGTAGGTTGATGGCATCCACTTAGTCAAAATATGCCCAGACTCTGTCACTTCCATGTTTGCATCACATGTTAAAGAAGTGAAGATGTGAGTTATCTCCCCTGGTCGGGTACTCGGGTCAGGGAAATAATCATGACCAAGTACTCAAGTACCCATCACAAACCTACATGATGCTTCCACACTCCAGCTTCTGACCATTATATTTGTTTGTTTGTTTTTTTAACGCCGCACTCAGCAATATTCCAGCAATTAACCATGGTCTGTAGGTAAACAAGTCTGGACCAGACAATCAAGTGATTGACATCCTGAGCATCGATCCATGCAGTTGGGATCGATGACATGCATCAACCAAGTCAGCGAGCCTGACCACCCGATCCCTTTAGCCGCCTCTTGCGACAAGCATAGTCGCCTTTCACGGCAAGCATGGGTTGCTGAAGACCTATTCTACCCCGGATCTTCACTGGCCCTGACCATTATGAAATATGAATGCAACGTTGTTCTAGTTGTCTGAGGCCTTCATTAAAAATCATATCTCCTTTCTGTCACTGTTATGGATGGCATATGTTTCAGGTGAAGATGTTTCCCTGTATATTATCTGTGTCATGTTTTGATTCACTGTCATACAAGCAGTATATGTGTGGTTCAGAGACAAGATGTGTGTGGCAGGGTGCATAAGGAGCTCCAGAAGTGGGAGCAAGGTCTGAGGTCGGAGATCCAACTGAAGCACAAGAAGTCCCAGATGTTGCAGGAAGAGAAGGATGCCACCATCTTGCAGGTAGATCTACGTCCCAATGTCTGTATAGAAGGCTTGCGGGCTTGATGTGTTGAAACAGGTGCCTGTGCCCAATGAGTAAAAGCTTACTTCGTGGGGATTTTGTTCATGACGTGTCAACGTACACTGATGGCATGGATCGTTGCTCATAATATCAATCACTGGTTTGTCTGGTTTGACTTGATTCTTTACAGGCAGCAGTCGTATAACTGATAGTGAAACAACAAAGAAAACAATTATGACCCTTGACATGATTCATTTGTATTTTATAATTAATATCAAACTGGATAGATGGGGCCTACTCTTAACTGAGACCATGTCC